TGACTGAAGTCGATTAAATGTTCAAGAATAGAATCCCTAATTTTACCAGCCTTTTTATCTGTGCACACAATCGTCGTTATTACTTATACAATACAACCTAGTATTCTAGTCTTATTATCACATTGTAGTAGAACACTACTACGAAGAAAGCGCGATCGGTGAAAAATAAACATTTATTATTGTACTCGTTTTGCGTAACTGTACCGAAAACACTTACTTACGCGCAACGTTCTTTTTCGCGTTGCTGCCATCTTTCATAAATTGCTGCGCGATGTAGTGCCTACTTTCTCCTTCAAATAAATACTGAACCCTGGATTTATTTCTATAATTTGTGACGGGATAGTAATGAGTACTTTGTGGTGATCATAGACAATCTCGACTCGATCACCACCAAAACATCATCATGTTAATTCACTGTTCCATCATTTTAACCTTTGTATATAATGCCGTTTAAGTATACTTAGTCGAAAGAGCGTAAAAACGTCAGTTTCTTCCGGAAGGCCACGTTTAATAACTAAACAGTAACATTCAACAGATTTTGCCCAGTCGACAGAAAAGTTGTTAGTCATTTTCTCCCTCTTATTTCTTTATATGTCTAATCTAACATTTAACTCTTTTGATTATATGTGCTTTATAAACATACTTGACTTTTCCATACTACTTTGTAAGTTATCAATGATTAACCTCTAAAGTATGGTGAAGGATTTTAATCTGTAAGCTATCTTGTACAGCGCATCTCAAATCAAAACACTCCTGGAAGAGGAAAATCCCGGCTTAATTAAAGCACAGCATCCCTGAAACTTGCATGAAAGAGAAACTAGCATAAACCGAAGGTTTACCCAGAGGATCCTAACTGCAGCTCTTACTTGAGAAGACTAGGGAGGGAACTTAAGGACAAAGTACAAAGCGACAGATATTTTCAGACCAAGCCGTTAGCTAAAATTCAAACTAATCCAAAATATCTCTATACTTTCATGTTAAGTCCGGGGTTCTTAGAATTTCACTGTGTCCGCATCGTTGATATTTTACAGTCACTGTCTTTCGATTTCAAATAAATTATAACGATAATGGTCGCCTACAGTTGACTAACATCAACGTGAGAGACGTACAGTCATTAAAGGATTTAACAACATCAAGAATTTGGTCACAACTTATAATTTATAAATAAGACGGTAATAACTGCGAGTAAACCTAATATACGGAAATACGAACGATGCAGGAAATGACATAATCGTGATAAAAAGATACACATGAAGGGATTGTCCCATATATTGGCACAGGGACGTGTCAGAAACTACTTTACAGCTCATGACCTCGCAGAGATATATAAACACTTGAACCTGCGCCCTCAAAGGGTCTAATAGTGAAGATCTTATCGATTACAAGTGTCAGAAATCTTTGATGCTAACTGTGTCACTCATCTGAGTTAGGGAGTTACAAGCGACGGATACCCGGCTGAGAAACAAATCTTGCGAAGTTAGACTACGACATTTCAAATTATTCTCTCGGTTATGGGAGAATAAGAGGTTATCTAATGATCGCACACAATGTACTAAGTACACCAAATCAATCCAATACAAACGTCTTGAATTGACTTCACAATTGTACTCGGCTTGGAAACCCTCAAGAGGCAAAAACCCAGGTATAATTCCACTTATTCTTACTAAGAGTTAACCCTCATATAGAACGCTGTCTCATTGAAAATGATCAAAGTCCCGTTAATGATTAGCTATAGGAGGAGATGTGATAAATACATACTCATGGATCCCCATCTCCAACTTCGACTAGCTGTACATTTATTTATCTCACAACTGATCGACTACCATTTTCGTTTCCATTTTATCCTTACACTTCGGTTCGCTAACATTATTTGCATCACTAATTTGTACATTTATTTAAATTTCTACTTTTTCAGACAATATTCTCATCTCAGCTTTCTGTGTTATAATTTCTTCATATTTTGGACGTTGTGACAGACCAGCCAGCCTCCTGTCTGACAGAGTGATAACCGCTGGTTACAGAAACTCTACGACCGTGAGAAAAGTTCACTCAGGTTACACAAACCCTCAAATAGCTAACAAACCAACTAGAAATAGTGTATTCGAGTATGAAATACTACTTTACATGGATAACTGTAGGATCCGGACACTTATAACAGCTCACGATCTAGCTATTTATTACTTAAGAAGCTGAAAATTGGAAGGACATGCCTCTCTTATTGTTTCTAAACATAGGCTGCTAATGGGGTTCATAAATAAGAACTTCCTGACTAAGACTTTCTAACTTACCCTCTTCAAAATACGCATAAGGCACTGTCTTGAGTAGTGTTTGTTTACCTTTTCAAACCCGATACAAGTAAGTTATGCATATCGAAGATCCATGCGTCGACCGCAAGGATGTGACCCTACTCTCGATTACACACCTTATCACAAAGATGTTAGACATATTGGATACTGCATTGTTTAACTTGTTTATATTTAGCCAGATTGTTTTGAATATTTCTTCAATAGTCTAATATCTTAACTGATGATTATAATTCATAACACTTTTCCCAATAGTCAGAAAAATACTTTATTTTGATAAATGTTGTATTCGATAATATAGAATACTGAACTAGATTATCCAAAGTAATACGCCGATTAACATAAGCTGAAAAGTAATATCATATTCAATGTTGGTATATAACATTGCCAAGTATTTGTGAATTCGGTTGGTTAACATTAGATATGAAAGTAAGACATTAACTAACAAGAACAATCCTGTGTATTCTTTCTAAAATTACACAGGTGAAATAACTCTCTTCTCATACAAATAGGTATGAAGGGATTTACAGGCTAATGAATCCATCTTTTAGTCTGAATAACTTAGCCAACCATTCACATATTAGACTTTTAAAGACTCGGTAAATAAATGAATAACGTGGCGTTTTAAGCAAACAGTACTCCATTCGACTTGAGGAATGAACTTTAACTCTGGGATGCAGGTACAGCCGATTGACGAGTTCCGAATAGGACGAAATGTGCTTCCCAGATTCGATTGCTATCCATATCCCATCCATTTTATATCAGCTGGAATCATAGTGGCTATATCTAGGTGATTCGCAACGGAAGCCCATATACAGACCAAGACTGGTCAAATTTCAGTCCAAAATATCAACAGTGTGATAGCTCAAACCATATCATGTTTTATCATATCTTTATTACTGCATGCACTTGACTATTAACTGTTCCTAAAATAACCTTTGCTAATTCTTTTATGCATTTGTTTCAAGCTTTGTATTTCGCTTTCACCTCATCAACTTTGGTAAACTGTTGCATCATATGAGTGATGAGGGCCAAGACAATTAGTTTATCCCTCATTTAAACAGTCCATGACTGTTTTTACTAGTTATATCTGTTGAGTTCCAACATTTAGTTCTATCTTATATCTGCATCGACAAGATTTTTAATGACTATTAAGATTATACTTTCATCAGGGACAATAAATATACACGTAAATATACATGAACTTTGGGATTATTTCGTTAAAAGAAACTCAAATGCTAGTATTGTCAAATTCTACTATGTCTGAATGTGCATTCATTTTGCCCAATGTAAAAGATGAAAAATAAAAGAGAACCAAAAACTGTACGTATTATATTTTTTTTGATTAAGTTTTTCAATTATGAAAAGTAATATATACTTGAAAAAACTTCAAAATACCGGTAACAGAAACAGTAAGAAAAACAAACAAAAATTAGTAGTAACGAAGGGAAAGAGGAAGTCAATCATTGAACACTGTGCACTGCGACATAACATGCATCTAATTACAAGGGAAAAGTAATTCTGAAATCCTTAGTTTTGACTGTTAACATTATTATTATTAATACGTGTTATTATTATTATTATTATTATTATTATTATTATTATTGGTCCTTCACTCTTTGCTCTGCTTCATGGATTCTTCAATATTAATAATATTCTCGCAAACAATTTTTTCATAGTTAACAGCTAGTTTTGAAGATGATAGACAAATTAACATGAGAACAGAATATATTCTAATCTTAAAGATCGACTTTGGCTTATAACAACAGTGATAGAGAAATACCATCCTTCTCATACATACAAATATGTGTATGTGAGTCAATATTGAATACTTTGCTCAGGCACTCATCTTCATCAACATCATCACTGCCGAGTTGTTTCTACAGATGAGTGGAATAAAACGAAAATTTACACACATGTAAAAATATAATCAAATGGACCAAAATTCAACAGACAACTAGATAAAATTTATTATAAACGAACAAATAAATTTAAATCCATTTAATGCAAATTTTGGAAAAATAGGTAGAGGTAAGAAACAACGAAACGGACATTGAAAATGCATAATTATGATTTTTATCAATAATAATAATAATAATAATAATAATAATAATAATGTTTTACCAATAAATATTCATAACTGTTAATAGTTTATCTCATTTTTCTATTTTAGAAAAATGCAAGAGAAAACCGACTGCATAAAAATAGTTTCGAACTAATAAACTGTACAAAGTGTAAACAGGAAATTTTTGGACTGGACAGATCATTAGTTTGCTTCATTGACTGATATATATATAATTACATTTATACCTGAGTTAGTTTAAATGCATTGTAGTTCAATGTGTCATTGCATACTTTAACGTTTGTTTAAAATAGAAAAACTAACAAATAAATAAACAAACAAACAAAATTACAAAACCAAATAAAATGACTACAAATAAACTGAAATGGAAATGTAGTTTGGCATTGGAGGTAAACAATAGTAGTATTAGAAGGGATATAACAGAGAGAAAGAGTTGTATTTTATTCTCCTGATCAAACATCATCAATTTTTTTGTTTGGCAAACTAACATGATTTACACAATTCACTTAAATCAATACTGAATAATAGAGTTAATTTATTTTAACTGTGCTTAAATGAAGGAAAAATGAACATTTGTATTTATTTCATAAATTATCAACAGATTTTACAGTAAATTAATCAACAGAATCAGAGAATACTACACTACATGGTGATGATGTATGCATATCATCACACTGTTCATGTTCTTGTTTTATATCTTCCATACAATAACCATTCACTTGTATCTCTGTTTGATCTTTTACATTTATCGATATAGGATCATGATCAATATTATCATTATCACTAGTATTGTCTGTAATTAATTTAACAGTATGTGATTCTTGTGAAGTAGTATCTTTTGTAGTTTGTATTGTTTCATTCAATAATTGTTCACTGACGCCTTCATCTTCATATTCAGTCAATTCATTACACTTTTCGTCATTATTATTATTACTATTATTATTATTATTATCATTAATGGTTTTATTATCAGATTGAATAATTGATGGCTCAGTAGTAGTTGGTGTCATCAGTAAATCTATTCCATTATATTTTTTCAATGATAAACAATGTGTAAAATGTTCCAAAAATAATAAAGGATTATTTAAATCTACACCGCATAGAAAACATTCAAATTTTTTATTACAATTGCCTACTGATGATGATGATGATGATTGATCGTTGAAATTACCATGCATATTACTCGAATGATAATTTGCCATATTCTTATCCAAATAAAACGTTTGGCAATCAATACAACCGTATAGTTTACCGAGTGAATGTAATTTCTCTAACAATAATTTAATTTCATGATTAGTTAATTTTGTCCAATCGAAATTTGACCAATGTGTGGTTGACTGATTTTCAGTATTGAATGTTGAACCGACATTTACAATTTGTTGTTGTTGCTTTTTTAAATGATCGGAAATGTCACTAGATAAAAAAAAGCATACAAGGAAAAAATCATTCGAAATTTAGATTTCTATATATTATATGAATACAGACGTGGTATTGTTATCTATAATTATTAAATAAATCTTAAGTTACTTAACTAAACCAATATAACTTCAGTGGGAGATCTATACTTTTAAAGAAGACATCAAGACATTTTTCAGCAATAATATACATGTTGTAGTCACATTTTGTTTTCCAGGCGATTCATCCATTCACTGGCTAGAAAGTGTACAATCTAATATTTTCTTTAAAATGTATTAACTTTACTTTTTTTATCCAAATAGGTCACTTTCATTAGCATAAAATTATATTTGTTTTAACATACAATAACGACCGAAATTAATAAGTAATTTCAATATTTTCTAATTTCATTTCAAAAATTATGCAATATAAACTTAAACTTCTATTTAAGGGAAAATTGTGACTCAAAAATTTAACTCTTCACAGAAGTTAATGCAACAACGTTAAAATGATCGTATGAAATTACGCACAATTGGATTAGGAGAATTGATATTTGAAAGCTTGTACCTAAACTTCTACATTAAAAGCAATAAAACTTTAAAACTGAAGTAGTCTACTATACATGCTTTCACAATATCAACAATTTCCACTTGGTTAAGAATAGCTTTGAAGAATTTAAAATGTAAATTAAAATTTAATGCCCATCCTCAAATACTATTCTTGTTAATAAATGAAGAAATATGATGGCGTCTGCTAAATTTTATAAGTTTATATCAAAAACTGGTTTTAGTCAGATCATCAGTGAATACTTAAAATCTCTCGACAATAATTATCATTATTGTTTGGTTTTTTTCATATAAAAGTCAGTACTTTTTCTAGTTATCAGATACTTTAATCAATATTTAAGTATATAAACCATTGTAATACAGATTGTATTTTGAAATGATAGGGAAAATTTGTAGCTCATATGAAAGATTCTGAAGGTATTGTAGTTCTCTTTACAATACAACGAAACAATATCAAAGGCTTAAGTCAATTAGTTCAATGAACCCACACATGCATAAACCTCTTACTAATTGATTAAACTAAAGACTTATAATCCATTGATAAAACATAAACAAAGTATTTACACTTCCAAATCTCTAAGTTAATCATGTAATTGAGAAAGAAATACTGAAAAAATCTGAACATACCTTTCTTGTCCTGTTGTTACAATTGATGAAAGTGTTGTCTTATTCAAAAGTAAACAATTTTCTTCATCAAATTTGATATTACTATTTTCCCAAATTTTTGTTTCTTCCGAATTCTTTATAAATAAAGTAAAAAAAGATATTCGTTTTAAGTTATACAAATAGGAGTTAACTGACTGAGAGCGGTAAAAATAATCGGTTCAATGATTTTCTGGTAAACTATGATCTAGGTTTTTATTGATCTCATTAGTTTTAAGTGGATTAGCTGCCACCTTGACGTGGTGGTCGCGCTTGCCTATCGCAACGACCAACCGAGTTATACTGGCTGGAAAATACGTTCCTGTAGGTTCTACTATGTCAGGCAGGTCGATTGGAGAACGATGAGACTAAAAGCAGCTACTCAAGGTCCGAGTCTGAAATCGTACTGCTGACTGCAGAGGGGTGTGACAGCAGTAAGGTGTTTCCCTCGGACAACCAGCATCTACAGCGACGCTGCCTCCTCACAAGGAAGGAAGAGTTAGAAAAGATCGACCCTAAAAATGTCATACATCACCCTACCTCACGGATTTCTGTCTTCGACGTTAAGGGCTTTTAAAAAGAGCGGAGCTAATACTCTAAAAACCTCTCATAAAAAGGCCGTGCGTGACCGGCCTCAAGCAGTTGTCTCTTGGACTCTTCGGTCACGCTCCCAGGTCGTTAAGACTGACACTAATCTACCTTCTTTTTCAAGTTCCTCAATAGACACCCTTCCACGGGAAGTGACATCCACCCTCATACCCGTAACAGCACAAGAGACAAAATTGGTCTCAATCAAGTCAAAATTAACATGTGTAAGTGCATTGACTGCATTTGTAAATTGATTCATATGATGGTTTTTCAATTTAATGGGAATATAAATTCACAGCTGCATTCTTTTTAATCAATTATGTTAAATAATTACGGAAAAAGTTTTGATTGAATGACTAACAATGAAATGTGTCACGCTATTTAGTAAAAATCAATATCACTGATACCAAATGTTAGATGAGATCATTACCTCATATTCTGCGCACTAAAAATGAGTACTCAGTCCATTAAATGAAAGTATTAGAGAAAAGAAGTTTACAGAATTGAGTATCCTTTCTATCACCAAATAAACAATGAAAAATTAGCTACTGATCTGTTAATCAGTAGTAAAATTAATTTGAAATTATTTACTAGTGATACTACAAATATCATGAAAATGAATGATCTATGAATAAGTCCTGCTTAGAAATTAATAATTACATCGTATAATATGAAAACTAACTATGAAATCCAACTCTCCAATGCAATTCAGTATGCTAAATACAGTATTTATTTTTTTTCTAAAGACAATTAAACCAGAAAATTGATCATCATTAATGGAACACTTTTATGGATACCCTCAATTAAATTTGAAAATTGGCAGATATATTTGAAAAGATAACATATAATGCAAATAACTACTACCTTGCTACCTACTGTTGATCTAAAATGTAGAGTTTAAATTAAAATATGTAACAAAATGTTAAAGAATATTCAACTAAATATATCACAGTCAATGAGGTCTTTCTCGAATCATTTTCAAAGTCAATTCAAATTACAGTCACAAAATACTACTTATATATAATTAATACAGCAAATAATAAGTTTTAATTCATGAAAATGTTTTCTTTTTTTATGAGGGCGGGGAACAGTTATGAGTTAGTAGCATTTTCGGAGTCGATTAATTACAATCATTTATTAACATATTAAATTATTATAATTGAAAATAAACCAAACACTTTAAACGTAGAATCATTTTAAATGTTTTATTGTTTATTTATTTATAAATAAGGAGACCTTATGAAGTGAATTAGCATTGAACTAATTATTAGTGGTATAATACATTCTTCATTCATCATATAGTAAGATATTTTTACCAAAATAAAATTGAATAATACTCAATAATTCTATAAACCTTATTATTCCACACTATTTTCATTGAAAAAAACTGAAAAAGCCAAAAATTCGTAAATAAAGACTACACTTTGTTCAATGAACCGATTTACAGTGACCAAGGTTAAGTGTTTCCCAGAATCCGTTTTATTTTTTGATTTAAAAAATAATAATACTAAATAAAATTTAGATCTCTGAACCAACATTCAATAATGAACATGGCTATCTTCAGGCAAATAGCGATATTGTGCAACTATATTCCATTGCCTGCTATGGGCAACAATAAACTGTGAAAATTCATCAATTTTCACTGATAAAAATAATCATGCGGTTACTGGTGGCTAACACAAAAAGTAACTTTTAGTGAAAGCCGTTACCTGTGAAATTCAACTGTGTCGTGTGTGAGATAGTTATTCACCGGAAGCAATAACAGTTAACTTCACCATATCATAATGTCAGTTGAATTTTGACATGTAAGCCATTAGATGCCAACTTAATGGTCTAAATGTTAACTGGTCACCGTGAAATCAGAAACTTCTAGATTCAGCTTTCCTGTAGGTTCATGAGTGCGAACTGCTAAAGAGTCTCATATGAGGATAAAGTATGAATCAATTGCTTCTTGACTTTTGATGGTTACCTAATCAACTAAGAAGTGCTTCATAGACTAAAGAAAATATTTTCTATATTATCAATAATAATAGTAATAATAATAATAGTAATAATAAGCTGATCATGTTTACATCGAATAAATTTCTTTTTGTTGAAAAAAAAATTTAAGAACTAAGATAACATTCTTAGTCTATAAAAATTCTAAAGATTTTTGGATAATTTTAATCTCAAAACTTCAAATGACTTGAGTATAGAGAAAAAATAAAACTAATTACAAACGCACATTATCACACATACACGGCGAAAAAAACAAAGAATAACAAAACAATGAAAATATATGAAAAATTTAGTTGGAACTAGTTATATCTAAAATGAAATTTCTTTCCCCCCCAAAAAAAAGAGAAAATAACTAGCTGCATACATAGAGAAATGAAAACATTGTAGTACACTAACAAGTTGATGTGTATATATATTTAAACACCCCAATTTAAAAGGGGTATGCTTATTACTACGACAACAACAACAACCATCACCACAAACAATGACGTCAATGAAATATAGTTAGGCTGAGAGAAGAGAATCACACAAACTATTGTCTTTTGCTTCCTCTTCATTCATTCATTCATTCATTCATTCATTCTTCATCATCATCATCATCATCATCATCAGTATGACAGTTATTCATTTTCAGTCTATTGTTAATGAATCAAACTTGATTAAGTTGCATTTTTAATAAGTAGTTATGCATACATACAGCCGTACAGAAAATACATATCTACTATATACAAATATCAAGTTGCATGATTAAAGATGCACGCATTACCAGTCAATTATCTTTGACAATTATCTATAAATGAATAATAATAATAATAATAATAATAATAATAATAATGTTTATTCAAAATTACTATCTTCATCAAATAACTGACTAACTAACCAGTGAACTGTATTCAAGACAAATCAACTATCCAATTTTAAATATATATGCATATATATATATATATATGTATAGTGAATAGTTGAAATAAATGAAATGCGAATGACTATGTACTGGGATTACTTGATTAGACGCCAAATTGAACAGTAACAAAAGGAAACAGTAAATAATGGTGACAATTAAAGAAAGATTGCGGTGATGACATTAAAAAATATAGAATAGTATAGTATATAGTATAGTTATCCATGATCAAAATGACACAAGTATATATATATATATATATCGCATGGTATAATTTGATTTTCCAATGTCAACAGTACTCAATTTTGTAGCGTTTCCACCAACATCAGCATAAATATTGGCTGTACTGTATGCATTCTATTCCTTTGCTTAATTTTCTTTTCACATTTGATCATTTGGTGCTTTGTATGAACTACAATTTAAACGCCAAGAGTATTTGTTCATCTTCTCATACACGTATACAGATGAATGAATTCAATGCAACAATTGGTTTACAGAAAGTAAAATGATCAAAAAACACAAGTACACAATCTCTCACCCCATTCAATTAATTCTCTAACTACCTCATTTAAATGCTTTCTGTCATTTCTCTATAGATTTGAACCAATTATGTATAGAATGGATAGTCTGTATACACCATTGTGATATCTCCGTCAGCTTTTCAAAATCTGACAATAATTAAGAGGAAAATGGAGAAGAAACAATAGAAAACGAAGAAATGGTGGGCATGAATAGTTTACAGGAAGAAGATATGATAGAAACCAATTTTCCCCATCTCATTCATAGTTCTAATTCATAAAACAAAATCAGTAAATTTATTCACTAAATAATAATAGAAAATCAAAAATGTCAATATTCAAAATTGACTTTAAATTATTACGAACAAAAAAAACATGCATTTTTTACATTAATTTATATCAGTATCTTTTTTTTATGTCTTTAGTTTTGTATGTTAATACTATTATTATTATTATTATTAACTAAATAGCCGTAGCAATGATAATGAAAGTTTTATTCGATGAAATAAAGAATTCACAAATAAACACGCATATTAATTTGAAGCAACGGTTGGTGAACAATTCGAAACTGGAATGAAATACTATTTGTTCAACATTTTTTTAACTTACAATATATTTCTTCAGTCAATATCAGTTCGCGATAGAACAAAGCTATCCTCAAATATGAATGTATATAAACTAAGGTCATAATACACATCAGTAATCAGTAAAGGTCGTTAACTGTTGGAATATGGTCAATATACAAGGGAAATAATTTCAGTGCTAAAAATCATTATAAAATCGCATGGTTTTACAAAGATACTGTTTTAGGTGACAATGTATACTAGTGAGTGCTGACTCAATAGTTTAAATTTAATGAGTTCGCATATGAAACCAGAGGTCCTAGGTTCGATTCCAGGTTGTGTGATCAATTCAACACATCATTGATTTTTTTTAAATATATTGTCACCAGAAACCAGTGGATAGGTGTTTCGGTCCAGTTTAAAACTATTTGTAAATTATGCACCAAAAGTCTTAAATGAACAACGTATAACTTTCAAATTTCACGTGATCCATAATACTCTTGATTTATGCAGGCTATATTCTACCTGTTCACACTTTTTACCGCAATCATTATGTGATCTAATGATGAAGACCATTTATAATGAGAGACTCTTTCATCATACCGTACAAAATCTCTGTATAACCACTGTAGTTATCGATCAGTTTATCACGTTGGATAATAACCAAATTTCGTTTAAGATCAGTGTTTGAAAAAATTAGTGATGATCAGTATGGTTAGGTATTGACTGCTGAGTACAAATGATAAATAACCTCGAACAAGAAAATAAACTAACTAGCTTCATAAATTATGCAGTTAAACCAGTGATTGAAATGTCTACAAACATTGACATGTGATGTATACATAGATATTAATATACAGTGTGATGTAAACTGTCATATAGAAGTATAATAAATAAACCATCTGAAGAGCACTCACAAATATACATGTATGTACATGTATAAGCTTTTCAAACACACTCCTATGGTGATGATTTGATAGCAACTACCTGGAAAGTCTTATTAACTATTTTCTTGTAGTACGATTGCTAGTTATGGAGGTAAGAGGTCGAGAATCGAGTATCCGGGGGTAAACTTGGGTTAGTGGATACGAAGGATCGACTTTGAGAAGTCAACGAACCCTAGTTCTAAACCGATAATCTAAATAGGCCCAAGGGTTGTAAATGGAAACAATCACATATAAATCTGTTGTGATCACCAACTACATTGACACTGACACTGATCCACTGTTGTATGGACCAGATCTCTAGATCAAAGTATTAGGTGTGTCATTCTCCAATAAAACCACCAACTTCAGTATAGGCAACTACTGGGTAGTATCCAAGCTCACATACAAATATGATAATCAGTAATTTTTATAAGTGTTCTCGCTTCCCCTCACCATCTATACAAATGATAGTTACGAATACAAAATAATAATAATAATAATAAAAAGCAAGAAAAAATCAGAACGGGACCTAAAGAATACACAAATAAATGAATGAATTAAGCACTTAATCATTTTAAATCTGAAAATTCCAAAGTAGTTATGCAATCACAAGTGTTATACGCTTAGTCCATTTTTTTTTTGTACATTATGAAATTTTAAGTAATAAAAATAACACATTGAGAAAGTGAAAGAAGAAAACTCTAGAGAGATAAATAGATGAAAAGATTGAAAACAAAGTATCATCTTGAATTACCAGTATAATTTTTGCGAGAATTACACTTGATGTAAGAGGAGCATATTTCAAATAAGGCTATGGTGAATTAATCTGTAAAAAAGGGGAAAATTTTTAAAATAACTACTACTACTACTACTACTCATTACATTATCTAAAGAATAAACAGAAAAATATTTTAGTAAATATTAAAAAATTTTTTCTAAAGAATGAACTAGAAAGGAGGTCATTTTTGTAAAAAAAAAAAGAAGCGATAAAGTAGGGAAAATAAATAATCAAACTACAGAAATATTACTTATTTTCTATTGGTATACTACTTTGGTAGTAGTAGTAGTAGTAGAATCCTACTGATTTCTATATGTCTGTATGTATCTCTGTATGTAAACGCCATTGATTTGCGTTTGAGTTTGAAGTGAAATAATAAAACTCATGCTCTGTATGTAACAGAAAATGATTAGAAATGTAAACAAAAAAATAATACACAACAATACCTCCTCCTCCTATTTAAACATAAACTCCCCCCCCCGCCTTTCTCAAAATGTTTAATAATCAATCATAAAGTAATTCAAATAACTAACTAACCATAAATTGTATCTTTTTTTTTTCTGTGTGTATATATTTATTCTCGTTTTTTTTTCTTTCACAATGTGTAAGTATGTACATTTATTTGTACATAGTCTAATTAGACTGAATAAGTACAATCAAAATGTATGTTTTAATCAATGAAACATTTGAACAACAATGTTTCTTTTTAATCAAATAAATGAAATATACACATGTCACATGTCTATCTCTCTCTCTCTCTCTCTCTCTCTCTGTAAATTTATTTATTTTCGTTGCAAATAGATAAACATTTATAGGGAATAATTATCACTATGTTGATACATTTAGAGAAAAAATTTCAACAATAAAAAAAAACTGAGGAATGGAAATAAATGTAAAATTAAACATTTCAAAATTATTTTCGTAGATGGCTTTAAAAAAAATCTATGGAATAAATACTTTAAACAAAGAAATCATAAGATATATTTTAGGGAAACTTAAGAAAAACTGTTAGGTATCTTATAAAAACTAACTCCGCATGTAGACCCTTCGGGGCTACTGCCGGTCCCAAGCCCGGATAAAGGAAGAGGCTTGGGCATGGGGTTGGCGACCCCATCCCGTCAAAAACCAACTTGCCAAAAAAAACGCTAACCTAACCATCTCATAAAAACTAATGAAGATTGTTTATGGAAGATTAGTAATTTCTGTTCTCATATGGATCATGTGTTTCCGTGAAGGCTATCAAGACTGCAGGGATCATAAATCACAAATATTGTATCTGCACTTGATTTTTAGCAACGATTGTCTAAAGATTTCTAGCATACTCATAATTCAACTATCACATGAACTATCAATATCCCTGTTCACTAGATCGGTGGTATTTCATGTTTTGAACAGTAGAGACAAAATAAGAACATGTAGATTGAAGCAAATGCAGAATACAATCAATGTATCCTAATTTTATAAAACGAAATTTTAATAACTTCATTTCATTAATTAAAATCTATCAATCAATAAACTGAACATTACGAGTGGAAAAACACAGACTAGAATACGAATTTTCTTATATATAGATTAAAAGCAATATAATTCTCTTTATTATTCGACATCTGATTCGCTTAAAATAAACCTTTGTTTACAACATTATAATCCTGCGAATAATTATCAATGCATATTCCATGTTATCTAAAAAAAAAACCGATCGATAAAAGATGAAAGACATTTCAGTCAACCTACTGTCTACATCTATTGATAATGAGTAATAAGTTTTGTCATAAAAACATTTCCCATATTGAAAAATTGTCTACTACTCATGACCCAGTATAGAGAATACGTAATCATTAGAATGTCATTGTACAACTCAATGAGTAAGTTCGGGGATAAGCCAGCTAGATAATAATGCGCTTATGCACATATACACACACGCATGCATTCACAACAACATAAGATTGGCTGACCCAGACTTCATTTGACCTTAGACGAATATTTCATGTTATTATCCTAGTGATAGGAAATTTCTTTTTCAATTTTCTTCTCAGTTCACTTAACCACATAGAACGTTTTTTTTTTCATTTCATTTCATTTTATCCCTTGTCTGTCAATTTGATTTCCTTCTATTTTGTCCCATAGTTACCACTGTGTTACTAGTTTATTTCATATGTTTGAGTATAACATAAAACCTTTTTATATAATGCACACACACACACAAACACACACAAGGTGACAGACATAGATAATATTAGAGCTGTCATGTCATGATAACAAGCCGACAGAAGCAGAATGATTTTATTTAATACTCACTGTTTAGTATAGTTTTAGTAAAAAATCTTATTCAATACAATCGAATTAATGAAATTGTACCAATCAATGGAGTACTAATCAATTAACATGTAACTAGAAAATCAATGTCATTTCAAAATGATCACTACGTCGTGTTGTTGTTAACATGGCCAAACTTTTCCTGTTTTTCTGTCCATATCACTAATTTGATTTATTTTGATGTATCACTACTTTATTGCATACATACATACATACAAGCACACTGATGCACTGGCAAAAAATTTAAAGGATCATTTATATGTATTTGTTTGAAATGAAAATACTGATCGGATAACAATAATAGATTGTGATGACTGGATAAATCATTCTAAATGAAATTGTCATTCTGATATTATTGTTCATATTTAAATGGTTCATTGATTCAAACAACAATAATCACAGTCAGTTAGTGTGCTCAGTTGAAATTCATAGTTCTGAATTATTTTTTCTCATGATTTAATAATATGAAACAGAGTTCATGTAAATTAATAAAGTGTGTTTATTTTCGGAGTATAAAATATACACAAGTCGACAATTATTTTGCGTAGACTTCAAATTTATTTCATTTGATAATTAATTAATTTCATCGAAATTATGAATTAATCATTATTAGATTATCATTTAAAAAAACTTCGAAGTACTGAAACTATCATTTCGACCTAGCATGGTGGAACTCATCAGCAGTGCACACTGACGATCCTCGCTCGAGCGGATCGAACTCGTGCGCAAACGCATAACCTGCGGACCACTGAGTCAGTATCCAAACGATATTAATGTCCAATTAATTTCACACAGCTATTTGATTTGATGAATTTTTTAAAAATTCAATCAGTCTGTATAATACATTATAAGCTATACATCAAATATCAAGGAAATTGTATAGTTTTACACCAAAAACTCATCTGAATAAAATAACTATGAAAACAAGGACATACCGGAAAAATGATTTTGTTCAAGTATGGAACTCTATCAAAGTTTGGAGTAACGACGATGCGACCGGGACTTGAACCCATGACCTTTACGTCATGTGATGAACCTTTAGACCCCTGAGTTACTGGCATTCACTAGTTTGTCTTGATTAGTTTTAGTAAATTTACCAGATTACAAGCCATCTAGAGATTTACTTAAAACTAAATAGCGTTGAATTAGTCTAATATCTTGCAGAAATCCAAATTTACACCATCATGTAGGATAAAAAATTCAGTGAATTTAATTTACATGATAGGCATTAAAATGGATGAAATTTTTTTTTTGTTAACTGATAACTCAGTACCCATTATCCTCGGATCACATCAAAGAACAATCATTTTATGATAAGAATGAAAACACCACTGTCGACCACTTGAACACACCAACAATAAGATAAAACAAACACCGAGAATGACAAGGGGTTCGAGATAATAACACTTAGGAATATTACTCAAAGAAATGGATGGATTTGAAGATAATAGGAAATTAGTATTGAACCTCAAGAGTTAAAACGGAAGTAAAAACAATAGATGTGTCTGGGTTCAAATAAAATGAATTTGTTGTATTCTGCAAACCTTATTCTTCCTTCTCAGCTTATATT